TTCCCCAACCTTTTTTTCTTTTTTGCACTTTTATTTTTCATTACTTTAAATTCTTGAGGGGTACAGCATCACACGGATTCGGCATCCCATGGTCTTAGCAGGAAGGTTGCTTCAGAACTTGGCATGAACCATGCTGCTGTTTCCGTGGGCCCGAGTTACCTTTCCCCGGATCACTCGGTTTTGTTTGGTTTGCCACCTAGAGTCACTGTGTTGTTTTCACTTTGTACACATAAGCACATGTCTTGCCCAAACAGAATTCAGTTTCATCACAGGCATAAACACCTTATTTTAAGAAGGACTGTGTGTTCCCTCTGGTTCCGGAGACCCCACTTAGAGCCAGCAAAAATGGCCTTGCACCACAGTCTGCCAGACACACTTGCTGTTTAGAAGTCCTGTTCCCAGCAGGCCTCCCCAGGCTCCAATGTGGCTCCCCAACTTTTCTGTGCTCTTCATGTTTTAATTTTTGAGCCAGGTGTGTGTTGCCTAGGCTAGCATCAAACTTGTGATCAGCTTTGCCTCAGCCTTCCAAATTGTTGAGTTATAGTTATGCTCACCATAATCCACTGTTCTCCTTAGTGAGCAGTTATTCTTTCCTCCTGTCAGACCAGTCCCTTGTATGCCATATTCTTATATTAGAAAATATGACCTTTGACAAATCTTGATGTAGTACCAGTTTAGCTACATAAAAGAAATTTGTCTTTTATGTTCTTTCTCAGCCTTTATTAGCTGTTGATCACTTTCAAAGCTTTTTTTTTAAGATGAGGTTTCACAACATAGTTAAGACTGGCCTTGAACTTACTATGTAGCCCAGGCTGGCCTTGAATTTGTGACATTCCTTTGACCTCAGCGTCCAAATGCTGAGATTATAGGCGTGTGCCACCATCTATGACCTCTCTGTCTCTGTCTCTCTCTCTCTCTCTCTCTCTCTCTCTCTCTCTCTCTCTCTCTGTCTCTCTGTCTTTCTGTCTTTCTGTCTTTCTGTCTTTCTTTTGTTCAGGGTCTCACTACACAGCTTAGGCTCATAGTGATCTTCCAGTCTCAGCCTCCCCAGCGCTGGAATTACCAGTGTACACCACCACGCCTGGTTTTGATGGCCAGCTCAGTGCAGGGCCAGCATGGCATGCCGTACTGGGGCTTGAATCCCGGTCATTGTGCTTGCCAGGCAGGCGCTTAGACCGCCAAGCTATCTCCTCAGTGCCCCTGACCACTTTTAAAGTTTTAGAATTCTAATTAATACTCAGTTTTCCTGCCTGTGCCTCCCAGGTGCTGGGATTACAGGTGTGTACCCCTATGCCTGATCACTGTCAGGGATTTAAGTTCTACAGTTAAAACAATTAACCCTAGGTATTTTTATGGGAAAGCATCTAAAGTGTCCTTTTATAACCAGACTTTGACTTGAGCATATTGTGTTGCTCATTTTTGTGTGCTGTTTTTCATATTAATAGCTCATAGAAAATGTTGCAAAACAGCCAGTAGAAGACAGTCATGTGAATGTTTTTACTATTCTTTAAGATAACCAGTGTTATCTTAACTAAGGTTATTTCTAGCAGTAGAGTCTCAAACTAGGATCTGTGAATGTTGCGAGTATTCCTTCGATGTTATTGCTTTTCTTTGAGAATTCATCTAATCTCCTTGAGTCATAATTTTCATGTCTTTTCACATCAGAAATTATTAGAACCTAAGAATAATACAGGTGATATCTCCAAAATGGAAAAATCTAACATGACCCCTCATTATCACTCTGTTTTTTTCAGTCAGCACTGTTACATTGTTATTGCAGATACATTAATAAAATGCTTTAGTAAATTCTTATCTGTAATCTTTGAATTTGTAGAATTTTAGGGTGAGTTTTTCCTGACTCCGTTGTGGTTTTTTTTTTTAGAAATTAAAAAAAAATCTTTATATATTTGGTACAGGATTTCACTATGCAGCTCAAACTCGTAGTGATTCTCCTGTCTCCACCTGCTTAGCACTGGGATTACAGGCATGTACCACCACGCCTGGTTCCAGGGTGGCATGGCATGGGATCCAGTCCAGTCCTTGCACTTGTTAGGCAGGCGCTTAGACTGCTGAGCTATCTCCATAGCTGCTCCATTATGTTTTGATTATGTTCATTCAAATATCAAAGAGTATTAATAAAGATAATTTATTATTTTAGGTACATAAGATTTGAGTAATTTTTTCATTTTTTCCACAACAAAATAAGTCTGTGATGTCTAGGATCATTGCTTATTGTTAAGACTATTTTGTATACGTTTTTCCTATGCTGTTGGGGGTCAGAAGGGCCTCACGTATGCAAGACAAACGCTTTACCACTGAGCCGCATCCTCATCCCCTTTCTTGTGTACTTCAAACAGTAGTTTTTCAAACAGTTCTAGTGTTAGTTTTCAAATGGGGATTTTTAGAGGTACCTCAGAGAACCCAGGGGACAGGCAAACAAATGATGTGAGTCTTAAGTTGCACTTCAACCCCCAATTTTTTTTTTTCCTGGTTTATACTGAACTGGGACTTGAATTCAGGGAATGTTGGGCTGTATCTCAGCCCTCTGTTTAATTTAATTTTATTATTTTTTATTTTATTTATTTATTTATTTTTGGCGGAACCAGAGATTGAACTGAGGCCCTTTCGCTTGCCAGGGAAGCGTTTATTCTACTGAGCCATCCCGGCCCCTTTAATTTTATTTTGAGAAAGAATCTTGCTAAATTGCTCAGGCTGGCCTTGAATTTGAGATTGTCCTGTGCCAAGTGCTTGAGTAGTTAGTGTTACAGGTGTAGACCACTGCATCTGTCCAGAAATTTTTTTTTTTTTTTTGGTACCAGTAATTGAACTCAGGACCTTGTACTTGCCAGGCAGGCACTTAAGCCATCTCCCTGGCCTAGAAATCTTTTTTAAAAAATATATTTAAATAAATGTTTTTTTGGTGGAACCGGGGATTGAACACAGGACCTTGAGCTTGCCAGGCAAGCGCTTCATTTTACCGAGCCGTCTCACT